AAGTACACATCGACAGTATGGATCCATATGTTGGGACCAATGGATGTTTACAGCATATGGTATGAATGCATTGACATGCTGACTGCAGATGTCGAAAATGCGACTGAAAAAATGTCCATTTGTGGTTGCCAAAGTATAATCTACAGAATGGCCAAATGTTGGGCCACATGATTCAAGAGATCACCCGAAGCATTGACATGCTGACTGCAAGTGCTCCGAAAATGCGACTGAAAAAATGTCCGGATTTGTGGTTGCCATGTTGGATGTCACTGCCCCAAATATGCGGCTGAAGAAAGGTCCGGATTTGTATTAAGATGCAGAATACCAGTGCTCCAAAAATGCGGCCGAAAAAATGTCCGGATTTGTGATTAACTTAGTTAATGTCACTGCTCCGAAAATGCGGCCGAAAAAAACATCCGGATTTGTATTTAAGATGCTGAATGTCATTGCCCCAAAAATGCGGCCGAAAAATTGTCCGGAGTTGTAGTTGACTGGTTAAATGTCACTGCTCCAAAAATGCGGCCGAAAAAACATCCGGATTTGTATTTAAGATGCTGAATGTCATTGCCCCAAAAATGCGGCCGAAAAATTGTCCAGAGTTGTAGTTGACTGGTTAAATGTCACTGCTCCAAAAATGCGGCCGAAAAAACATCCGGATTTGTATTTAAGATGCTGAATGTCATTGCCCCGAAAATGCGGCCGAAAAATTGTCCAGAGTTGTAGTTGACTGGGTAAATGTCACTGCTCCAAAAATGCGGCCGAAAAAACATCCGGATTTGTATTTAAGATGCTGAATGTCATTGCCCCGAAAATGCGGCCGAAAAATTGTCCAGAGTTGTAGTTGACTGGTTAAATGTCACTGCTCCAAAAATGCGGCCAAAAAAACATCCGGATTTGTATTTAAAATGTCTGAAATTTCATTGCCATGTAAATTGACAGGCGCCAGAAACCCCCGTGGAATGCTTCAATGCCTGAAATTTAGAACTTCAAGCACCCGAAAATGTGGCCGAAAAAACATCCAGATCCGTATTTAACAT